TAACCAACACAAAAAAATATAGAAAATTGTTTTCTGCTGAAATGCACAGTAATGATAGATTTATAGAAATAAATTTCAATATCCTTAAAGAAGATTTTTCCAATCTGACACCTTCCAGATGTTTTAGTAAAATTCCCAGAAGATCAAGTGAACATTCTGAGAATCCTAAGAATTGCATTTAAAACATCTGGAGGAAGTCAGGTTGGGAAAATCTTCTCTCTGCTTTATGAAGTTAGTAAATCTAGCTTAGCTTGTCAACAATTTATCAAACATTGTATCAGGAATTTAGGATTATTTTCCAGGAGGATTCACAACAAAACATTTTGTTTTGCATAGCTTTTGTTCTTTGAAGACTAAATTCTCTTAAATGATTTTAAAATCCTACAATTCTTTGCCATTTGAGGGCCTGTTGACTGGAAAGTGCACATGGATGTAAGAATATGAGGGGTGCTTAACAGGATATTTTCAAACATTTGAGCAAACTAAAATCTCTTCAGCACACCAACAGTTATAGTTTTAAGCCATTCATTTCTCTGCTAAACTCAAAATTCAAAGAACTCCAAATAAGACAATGAGTACACTTCCAACTGATAAAATAGGAGGTTGCAAAAATAAAAAGTGTGCAAACACTGTCCCTTTTTCTCAGTTCATGCCCTATTTGATGTTTGAGGCTTTGTAAAAAGACTAATTGTAAAAAGAAGTAGCTATAAAGTCAGCAGAGTAGCATATCACTGCTAAAAAGTAATTTTCCAAAACCCTTAATGTATATGTGGGTTAGTAGAAGGATCTAGAAGTTGGAAGGTGGGTTGCGCCAGGACTTCTAACATGGGGAAATTCCAATAGCTCTGTAAAGTTCCACCGGAAACATGCAAATTCTGATTATCTGTAGGTGGTCAGCAGAAATGGGTTCAGGTGCTGGATAGAATGGAAAGTTTGGGGTATATTGGAGGTATAGAATTTTTTTTTCAAAGGTCAATTTAAGGGTAATTTTGGAATCTGGAAAAGAAAAGGGAGATGTTGGAAGCATGACAAATATGAAAAAATAGTTTAAGATCCAATCTAGATTGATCACCGGGACCAGAGATTTAGTCTTCTGAACTTTCGGAATCATACTGGAGCCCATCCTCAGGGAACTTCTCTCACACCAGAATGAGTCACACTGAGGTTGGACTCCAGCACAAGTCCAAAAGCTTGGAAGACTAAACCTCTGGTCCCAGTGACTGATCAAGATTGGATCCTGCAATATTATCCTGGGACATGTATATTTGCCTTTATTTGTGAGAGATAGTTTAGCCATATTTCTTATGTGAGCCCTCCTTCCACCAACTGGGGATTCTATAAGAAAAGAATTTAAGCGGCTCATAGAGACTTTGTCTTAGTGTACTCACTCATAAAAGAAGGGTGCAATTTCATATCTAGCTCGCAAAATTCTCAGTTCTTTGTCCTGGCTTTCAATCTTTCTTCCTTAGTTATGCCCTACTATTAAAAGCAGAAATTGTAAAGCAGTTGTAGGGGCAAGATTGAAATGGTAAGATAAATGCTTAGAGGCCTCAAACGTCTCTAAGAAACCCTGTATGCCTACATATCATAGCTCCACTTCTTGTTTTGATGAGGCAACTTGGTTGTTTGTGTGCCATCAACTATATTCAAAGGAAATAGGGCTCCTAGGACTTGTGCAACTTACTGGCAACTATAAGGAAACATGATCAAAAGGAAATTTAATGTATTCTATAGCACTATTTTTTTGTCTTGTAGTATTGAGAAATTTGACTGGAGAAATCAACGCCTCCTCTTTTATGACAGAATAGAGTTTAATTACTCAAGAAGTAAATAGAATCGAGCCTTTTTAAAAAAAAAATCAACAGAGTATGTTTAGCATTTTTCTTAACTTCAAGGATTTACACACAAAGCAATCAATGGGTAAATAAACATATATAGTTAGTAAATCACACTGCATCTTAGAAGAACCTCCAATAATAAAAAGTAAAAGTTAAAGGTTTGAGCAGATCTTTAGATGATGTTAATCATCTCCTACTTAAAAGCAATGCTATATAAAGGTGCCAGTTTGCATCTTTATAGTTTATAGACAAGGACAGAATTTGTATAAAGGTAATAGCCATCAGAGACAATACATTATCTTGAAATGAACAAAAAGAACAAAAATCAGAAAAAGTATAAAAATAAAGTCAACATAGTTTTAAATTAACTTTATCTTATTTTACTAAGTATGTGCCTTTGTGCCCATTTGTTACTTGGAAATCCTTTTTTTATGAAAAATCCACATTTAGTCAAAGGTTGGAGAAGGATCTTAGCTCTTTTTTTTCTTCTACTGGATCCCCAGCCCCTAGTTTTATGTTTTTCTCGTACCTACTGGAAAGCTTCTTTCAGTTTCCAAAAGAACAAAAGGTTTCCCACCTGGAAAGAAAGGAGATGTGGGACATCTCGCATTTATCTTCAGGAACACCCCTCCAAAGATGGGGATAAGTAGAGGGTGTGCGTTTTGTACTTCCTGTCTGGGGAACAGCTGTTAATCTTGTGAATGCTGGATGGCATCATAATTAAAGTGTTACAGATCATGTAATAATCAGAACATGTGTAACTTCTGTGAATAAGTGTCAGCCTTCCCAGGTAGACCTTTCCAGTCAGGAAATATGACTGGATGAATAATTTTGTAAGGTTTAACAGACTTTTCCAAGTGTGATGTAGTACAAGTTATCCTGCCATCTCTTTTACAGCCTGAGAAGTTAGGGAGGATCCTTTCTGAGTGTCTTTTTCCATGAATTAGCAGTTGCAGGGGGAAGGGAAGGGAAATTAGTATTAGCTGCATATCTGAATTATGAAATGAACAACTGGAATATCCAAACTTGGAAAATAAATAGGTCCAGAAAATAATAATCAGAAAATATTATTTTTTATTTATTGATTTTATTTATTTCTCTTTCTCTCTCTCTTTAAAAAAGTTGATATTGAAAGGTAAAGTTTCTTCTAATCACTGGCAGGAAGCTGTTCCAAAGGACTGAGGCGGCCAATGAGAAAACGTTTCTGAGATTCCATCATATGGCAACATTTAAGGACTGTACCCACCCTATTAACCTAGTAAGATAGACAAATACTCTCAAGGAAAGGCAGTCCCACAAGTACACCTGGCCCTGTGCCATGCATGGTTTTATATAACAAGCAGCTTGAATTGTACTCAGAAAGCAACTGGAAGTGCAGCTTATGCAACAAAGGTGTTACTCGGGTGAACTGCGGAACACTCACAGTTGAGTGTGCAGCAGGGCACCACCTTCATCCAAATGTTATCCACAAGTGCAACTAATGCTGTCTTAGTACTATAGTACTAAGTATAGTACTGAATTTTAAGTGAAAAAGGTTCACTTCACGCAAGGCCCCCTGTAGTTGGGAGATGTAAATCTGTTTTCCATTTTTGGAAAGTATATTCTTAAAATGAAAAGATAAAGCAATATGTTTTATATGGTGTAGATTTAATGACAAGTTAAAAACTTAATTAATTAATTAAGTTTAAGAACTGAATTAATCCCATCTTGATATTAAATTGATATAAGGAGTTTTTGTTATGTGTTTTTTTCTTTGTTACATTTATTTTATTTTTTATAATATATGCAACATTTCTTTTATTGTAGAACCATTTTTGTTTTTTTATTTTGCAGCTGTTTGCATTTCAATATTTATCATTATTTTTAAAGTATTAATTATTATTGATAAAAGGATCCTCTGTTTTAGAACGTCTGGCAACAGTCAAGGAGCAATTCAAACCTTTTAATGATAGAAAAAAATTCTTTAGCAGATGGTTAATATATTAGGCATATCCAATTGATCATAATCATAATTATGCCACTCAGACAAGATTAACAGCCTCAGTGGCTTAAAACTAAAACTCGCCACAACTTAAAGTTTCAGCACATAGGTAGGTGTTTGTATGGTAAAAAAAGAAAGCGGAAGAGTAATATTTACCATTTAACGATTTGGCTTCAAATTCTTCTGTTCTTTTATGGTTTTCATTGTTCTTGGCGTCGTCTGTCTCCCTAATTTATTTCTGCTGTGCATTTTCAATTGCAACCAACTGTTGAAAGTTTTAAAAGTTGCATCAATATTCTTGTGACTGCAGAAAAGAAAAGATAAACAGTTTTGTTTCTTTCCCTCCTTCAGACTGTCTTTCCTCACTTGCATCTAGCTGTGGCACAAAAATGCCTTGTCAGCTTGTTTTCTCTACCACGACCCCATGAGGTTGCCTTCATCTGATTCCCCTGAACATACTTGAGGCAGCCTTAAGCTACCCTAAGCCATAACTGCATTACAATAGTTCTCCTCCCCTGCTTAGAACAATGCAACTTTGCTATAGATATAATCCAACATACTTCACCAACTATCCTGTCTGTGATGTAGTCAGGTAAGCTTCATAAGTAAGATCAGACTGGTATTTCTAAGCCCCCTCAGAAAGGTGAAAGCATAGATTCTACTCCTCTGTCTCATGAGCACTGGCTTCCAGGACAATTCTGCTTAGGGCAGCATGAGAGTCCAGTTATAAATCAGCATTCCTGATTGAGGATTCAGAAACTTGGAAAGTCTGAACAGGAGCTGACCAGCAGTTGGTTTGGTGATGGGTGGTAGGGAGTTTGCCCAACCAAGTGTGAGAGAGGTTACCTTCTTTGCTGCTGCATAATGCAGTCCTACCCATGTCTATCTGCTAATGTTCAGACTATTTTTGGATACCAATTTAATACTGGAAGAGTATTGTTGAATGCTTTTGAATATAAGGTTAAGACCGTTGAAGGTTAAGAAGGATGATCTGAGGCCTATAAAAAGCCAGTTCGGTCCAGTGGTAGAAAGAAGGAGACCGTGAGTTCTAGTCTGGCCTTAGCCATGAAAGCCAGCCAGATGACTTTGGGCCAGTCACTCTCTCTCAGCTCAACCCACCTCAGAGCGTTGCTGTTGTGGGGGAAAATAGGAGGAGAAAGATGTGTTGGATATGTTTGCTAACTTGGGTTACTTGTAAAAGTAATAAAGACAGAATATAAATAAGTAAGTAAGAAAGAACATGTTCCAGCATGTGCACCATCCTGAGCTCTTCAGTTCCCACCCTTGCCATGTTAAGCAGGATGGAATTTTTCCTGCAGTTGAGGATTCAGACTTTCTTGGAAGGGTGGGAAACAAAGTGACTTACAGAGTTATGGAAAGGACTGGATTATGAAAGGACATTGACACATTCCTTGACCATTTCTTACCTAAACAAGGGTAGGATTAATGCACTTCACCCCTTAACATTTATTTAAGCTGTTCTCCTCTGATAAGATTTTTAAGGCAAGGCCATTTTCATCAAGTGGAATGAGAACAGGTTTTTTTTTTTTGAAAAGCAGAATAGCTTTGTCAACATTAACTGGAGGCTCTGCAAGAGACAAAATGCATGTTGTGCCTGAGCATTTCAGCCTGTTGTTTTGAGGAGGTATGTGTGCCTTCCTGACTTCCCCTGATACAGCCTCTATAGATAAAAGTAAATTTTATGTCATGCGAACTTTCATAAAACAGGAAATGATTAGCCATTTCATTCAGACATCAGCATTTTCCTTTCTGTTTTTTGTTAATCTGCACACTTCCTTTTCTTTTCCTGTGAACGGTATATTGCAATAAAGAACATACAATCTGCAGTGAAGACTTCCTTTTAAAAAACAAAAACAAAACAACCCCCCACCCCCACACAATGGATTTGTGACAGTCTTCCAGTTTCCTAAACTGGGAATAGAAACCTTCCATCTGCTCCTATTGTTGGCCTTTTTAAACTGATATTTGAACTGGTCATACTGGTTTGATGGGAATGCCCACTTACTGTCTATGTTACAGAAGAGATCATAAAATAGTACATGATCACCAGCATCTCGGTTTGGGCCATGGCTTTTTAAGCATACGTCTTATTGAATTCATTCCTCTCCTCTCTTTTCCCCTCCCCTCTCCTCCCCTCTCTCCTCCCCTCCCTCCCTTTCTCTTCCTCTCTCTCTCTCTCTCTCTCTCACACACACACACACCTTTTCTTTTACCCCATTCCCCTAACATTTTAGGAGTAAGCTACAGTTAACTTTTATCATTTTAATAACAACAGATAGCAACCAATAAATAGTACTGATATGTGAATTACTTTCCATGTGTTAGTGAGTGTGACCTATGGGTGTGGGATTATCTCTAGGCCTTGATTTTTTTTTAAAAGAAAGCTGGGGAGATAAAGGAGGGCAATAAAATAAATACTCTTAATCTGATGATTACCAGACAGGTTGGGATAATCATTAGTATCATTCCAACAGGCACGCTGGCTGAGAAACAGAGCCCAATTTAGCCAGGGGGTAGAGGATTAAGGAGGCAGATTTCACAATTCATTTATTTAAGCACCACTTTTCGGAGACAAGCAAAACTGAAGCTTGAAATGTATGGCATAGTTTATAGTGAAACCTGAAAATATAAAAATATAACAAATATTGAAATATAACTTAATTAGCGCAAGGTCTATTTTTAGCCCTGTAAAATATAACAATAAATGGTGGCAAGGCTCAAATGAAGCAAAAGCCTTTCCAAGCAAATTGTTTTTCAAAGTTACTGGTCAGTCTAAAAGTACATCCTAGGGCCTGCCAATGAAACTGATGCTGGAGATAATCAAGTGAGATTACAAGACATAGCCATTATTAGCCTTAGGAATTGTCAAGCTTTTTATCTGGAAGGCCCTTTTAGAGAGCCACAGCAGCGTAGTGATGAACACACTGGACAAGAATCATAAAGTTCAAGTCCACTTTCAACCAAGGAAGCCCGCTGGATGACCTTGAGCCAAGTATTCTCTCTCAGATAAATGTGTACAGGAAAATTGGAGAAGGGATTGTTATGCCCAGGGATTGGCTCCTGGAAGAAAGTCCTAAACACCTAAAGAAAGAACAAGATCAAGGGCATTCTATCAACTGTAGAAAATATTGGATTTTAGCATTCCATTGGAATAAAATTCTATGTTGGAAATTGGCCATTTGGAGGCTGTTTGTCAAGGTTATGTATCCCTGTTGAAATTGTAAACACCTGATCTGTTATCATTGAGAATCCAACCAAGACTTTTCTATTCCTTGGAGAAAAAGTCCAGGGACAAACTATTCATCTTCCCTCATTTTTTTCTCTCACTGCATCATATGTCCATGATGGTTCCCCCCTGTCCCACTCCATTATTATCAGTATCCCAGTAGAGAGAAGTCTGAGATAAAATTTAAAATACTAAAAAAAAAAATGGGGGATTACATTTTTTTTTACATTGCACTGTATTTTATGCCTTCATCTAATCATTTAAATATTTTGAGCTAAGGATTACCTTGTGGCAATAAGAGTTGAAAAATATGAGTATTTCAGTAGGAGCTGTGGTGGCACAGTGATGGGAATGCAGTATTGCAGACTAACTATGCTCACTGCCAGTTTGATCCTGACCAGCTCAAGGTTAATTCAGCCTTCCATACTTCCGAGGGTGATAAAATGAAGACCCAGATTGTTGGCGGCAATATGCTGACTTGCCAGCCACTTGCATGGAATGATCCCCTCTCCACACACACCCCGGCCGGTCTAGAAAGCTGGAAAGTTGTGGAACTCTGATTTACATGAAATAACAGGGTAATTGTCTATTGGTTTAAGCTCTCATACTATCAATATGCTGATGATATCCAATTATATATCTTGACCCATTCCACCCAAGTGTTTCTGTCAATATTCTAACCCAGCGTGAAGGGTGTTCATGTCTGTATGAGAAAGAACATACTCAATCCCAAACCTGGTAAGACCAAATGACTGTGATGATTTGGGTCCCCTGGATCTGAGGATTTTTCATGTCTGGTTGCTATGCAATCTGGGTCTTTTCCTGGACTCATAGGCTCCTGCTCAAGCAGCAAGTGGCAACTGTAATCAGGGAGGCCTTTATAGAGGTTACACCTTTTCCTACAGTTGGAGGCCTTTCGGACAGTAACTCACAACCTAATCAGCTCTTGACTGGATTACTGTAATGTGTTGTACACGAGGCTATTCTTGAAGTTACAACTGGTCCAGAATGCAGCATTACAGGCATTGGTGGATGCCCCACACTATGCCCATGTATCATCATTGCTCTGTGAGGTACAATGGTTTTTCAGTTGGCTTCCAAGTACAATTCACAATGCTGATTATTACTTATAAACCCCTATATTGCATAGGCTTTGATTATCTGAGGGGCCATCTATCTCTTAGACTTAGAGAGACTCCCAGTGAGATCAAGCAGTATGAGTGTGCTCCAGGTTCCTTCAATCAAACAATGTCAAATATGAGTATGTTCTATGTGTGCATAAGATATTCCACTCAATTTGTGTATGTTTACTCAAAAGTAAGACCTATTAAATTAAATTAAAATTACCTCAGGAAAATACACAAAAACTGTAGCCTTAAAGTCATGTTAAACCACTTTTATTTCAAGCTCAACAGGATTTTTTTAAATGTCCAGTTTTTAACAAGAAACAGGTTGTTTTATTTAAAGGTATATATTTTTAATTTGTCTAACATATGTTGTCTCAGATACTGAAGACTATCAATATGTTTTGTGACTGATATCATTCTGAAAACTCAAAATGATTGTTTGCTTTTATTGGCCAGAAACTGGAAACCCTTACAGTATTTACATATTTAACAGTATCACCTTCATTCTGCCTGCCAGGTGTTTCTATTCAGTGCCCCAATTGTAATGACTCATTCAAAAAACCTTGGAGCTTGTTCCAAAATGTTGTTTATGTGAAGGCTGAAGTGGCACAACTCATTCCAAATTGCCTGGGTTCTCCTTCTTTGAGTTCCACACCCACAACTGAATTACTCTGAAGAATCTACCTCAGACTAGCACAACAGAAACTTAAAATGTACAAAAAAAAATATCATTGAATTTTTTTAATCATATCTGCTGAGTCTACATGTTTTCAGCAATTTTATGTGATATTTCAAAAAAAGAAAAATGAATTCTCTAGTTTGGGGAAAAATAAGTGCTGACATTTAGCCTAAATACATTCTAATTCAATTTTTGCCCCATTCTTCACTCTGAGGGCCCTCTTTTTTTTCCTGGAGGACACCAAGTAGTGA